GAGTACATGTAGCTGAACTTTTCATATTACTTGAATTAAACACAGTTAAGAGGGGTGGGAGTTTCCTTATAATTCCTTCGCTCCCCAAGCTGACTTACTGCAAAAAAATCCCCATTAGTAGCAATCCTCCCTTTCACCAGCCTGGGCCCACAGGTTTTCCACTAGGTTCCTGCTGGTGTCCTTTATCACATTCAGGGTATGTTCCTAGAGAAACCAGTGACTCTTCATTTGGGTGAGCGAGAGCCACCTCTTGTTAGTTCATAACACAAATGTTCTGGTTGGGTGACAGCCAGCTGATTAAATGCTGGCTGAATATTCTTCCTCCACTGCCAGTAACAAAGATTAGTATAACACCATGGGTATCATCATATCATCCTGTAAATATTCCTACATCATCCTCTGTTGCAGTGCAACAGCAACATTCTCCTCCTTCATAGACCAGCCTAAAGTTCTTGAGGCTGTTCCGAAAGGATGCGGCTAGCAAAAGGTCAGCACCTAGTAGTACTCCTCTTCTGCTGTAGCACTTGCAGCTTCCTAGTGATGATGAGGTTGTGAACTACCTCAGGCAGTGACTTCAGTCACTGCCATGTATTTGTTTTTTCATAGCCGGGGTATTCCTGCATCCCTGTTCCTGGGAAGAAGAAGAAAGAGAATACCTTGCCATCAAATATCAGTCCTATTTGATGTTGTGGGGATGGCAACTTCCCCAAAGAGCAGATACTATGTCTTTCACTAGGGCCTCCCCAGTACAGTCACACTGTTCTTTGAAAAGCTCTTTGTGTCAGTTTTGTTTCTAGCAAGCACAACAAGGGAAGTACTTCACTGAGAATACGGAAATCAGCCATCAGCTTTGTGGTCTCATTAAAGTACTGTAGGAAGTCTGATAGCTTTTTTTGTAAGCAGCTACTGCGTTGGAGGATGGTGTCTATCTCTGCTTGTCCGGGCCCAGGAACATAGAATGCTACCTCTGTGTCTCTGTTCATGCAGATTTACAGTTTGTAAAATATGAAATTCAGTCTAGTCACTATCTCCTGCTTCACTTAGTGCCATGTCAGTTCGAATGAGTCCTGCAGCTCTCTTAAGTTTGCGATGTTTTGAACTGAACTAGCAGAAGTGGCTGCAGAATTTCCTGGCTGTTGACAGCAGGTCCTGTACTTTGTATTGCTATCCTGAAACTGGCTCACAACCAGATTGAGGCAATGAGTGAAGCTAGAGATGCGGCAGACACCATGATATACTGGTTGAATAATTACTCCCTTATTGCAGCAAACCTAGCAGATGGGGACCTTAGCCACACCTCTGACATCATGCAGCTTTTCCAAGGTTATACTGGAAACATTGACTGTCCTGCTGTCAACTGAGGATGTACATGTTGCCAGAGCTGTTACCAGGCTTTCTGCTCACCTAGGGCACATCTACAAGTTATTTGAGTCCAACAATGGCTTTTTCGCCCTCCCTGCATCATTGTGATGTGTGTTTGTCCTTAGCTGGTAGAGATGGCAGCTGGTGACAAGAACCTTGTGTTCAGGTAAACTCAATCTCCCACAACTAGACCTACATGCATGGCGCTGATGTTCATCTTTCAGCAGCTTCAAGCTGTGCCACTCAGAAGGGCCACCCTTGGAACTGGTGAGGCAGCCCTTAAATAACCTGTTGTTACGTGATCTGGGTTCCGCCTAGTATGTATTAGGTTTCCTGCAAAATGGTGAAAAGAGCAGGGAAGTATCTTCAGGGGAAGAAGGAAAAGTGCAGCCAAGGTGGAGTCCAGTTTGTTGTTTGGACATTGTTTGACTATCATGAAAGAATATTGATTTGGTAAAAACATTAAAAGATGACTTTTTTAAAAAAGTAGAATAGAAATGCAAATGAGATCCAGCCTGTGGCAAGCTGGGTCAGAGCCTCTCAGCAGCCCCTAGCAGTCACCTGGGAGCACCCAGGGAGCTGGCAGCAGTTGGGTGAGCAGCCCAGCCAGGCTGGGAGAGGCAGGGTCCTTGGCAGGGGGCCGGTTGGGGGGAGAGCCTGCCAGCAGCCAGTGACGGGCTTCGGGGCTGTTGGCAGGAGACCCTTCATGGTCCAGCAAATTTTCCCTTGTTTGGTGCTGGGCCAAAGAGGTTCAACCTGTAGTGGTTTCCATGGATATGGTTCATGCTTCTACTTCCCTCCCAAAGTTATGTCAGGCAAGGCTCTGAACTAATAACGTATATTTGAAGTACTTATAAATCCAGAGGTTAAGTTCTGAGTTTCTTAAAAATACATCATTATATAACAGTTGGAAAAAACCTAAAAGTAAAATCTCAGACATCTTCTACTATATATTTTAGAAACTTTGTCTATGGGTATGTCTACACTACAGCGTTATTTTGAAATATATTATTTTGAAATAGTTAATTCGAAAGACGTTATTTTGAAATAGCGTGTCCACACTGAGTGGATGCTGAATTGCATTTAAGGCTGGCCGGAACCAGGTCTGGCAGGGCATCAGATTAAGAGTTACTTTGTGTGGCTGCTGCCTGATGCTATCTGAGGCCTGTGCTTAAAGGAACCCCCCCGGACAGCCGGTTCTCAGCTTTCCCTGCTTGCTTGCCTACCTTGATGAGGGACAGCAAAGCATTTTGTCTCTGCGTGCTCTGGTTGCTGTCACTAGGGACACCACATGTCTCTGCAGCATGGACCCGGAGCTGCCCCTGAGCACTTTGGTGCTTCTCGTGGACATATTGCTGCGAGCCCAGTTGCATTTGCTGCAGGCTGCCATCTGGGAGGTCCATCAGGGGGCTGTCAGTATCCAGCAGGTCCTGTGGGAGAGCTTCCACCCTGAGGAGCACTAAGAGCCTCCTTGGTCTGCCCCACTGGGGGCTTGTGCCTCATTTCTCCCTCACGTCCTTCCACTTACCCCTTCCTAACTCTCCTTCCTAATGTCAAATAAAATACACATATTTTCATGAATACAAACTCTCTTTATTTAACACAACTTGGGGCGGGGGAATGAAACTCTGGTGAGATTGGGGAAAGGAGGTGGGAGAGGGGAAGAAGAGAGGGTGGGAGAGGGGATGGGGAAACCTGGGAGGAGGGAATCTGAAGGGGGAAGCAAGGGGAAGAAGTGGAAGGGGAAGCTCAGGGTTGGGGGGCTTGCCGGGCCAACTTGATTTTCATGCAAATCTGCTCCTGGGTTCGCATGTGGCCAGGCTGGAAGCTATCTTGCCATAGACGGCCACATTCCCCCGTCTAGTGTGGAGATTGTGGACATTGGGGGGCATTCCCCCCCAAAACCGAATAAGGTCCATGATCTCCATCCTGGACCAGGAAGGTGCCCGCCTTCTCCAGGTCCTGGCAGGCTCCTGGGAACTGGCAGACTGCTCCTGAGGAGCGATGGAGGGGTTGATGCCAGTGGCTTGTTGGCTCATGTTTTGGGGCCACTGGGTATGGGGCAGTGACTGCTTGCCAATTTGCACTCCCATTGAGCAGTTGTTAATTTTGACAAAAGAGGAAAATGATGGAGAATCAAGTACTAGGTTTAGACATTGAGCCCTGGTCTACACTAGGGCATTATTTCGAAATAACCCCCCTTAGGTAGAATTGATAAATGGAGCATCCACACCACCAACCCTGACAATTATCAGAGGGGTAGCCATGTTAGTCTGAATCTGCATAAACAGAGAGAAGTCCTGTGGCACCTCATAGACTAACAGATTTATTGGAGCATAAGCTTTCATGGGCAAAGACCCGCTTCGTCAGATGCATCTGACGAAGTGGGTCTTTGCCCACGAAAGCTTATGTTCCTACACTTCAGTTAGTCTATAAGGTGCCACAGGACTCCTCGTCGCTTTTGCAGATTCAGACTAACACGGCTACCCCTCTGATATTTTGAAATAAGTGCTCCGCTATTTCGAATTAATTTTGAAATAGCGGTTTGGCTGTGTAGACGCTAGTAAATTTTATTTTGGAATAACAGCTGTTATTTCAAAATAACTTTGCTGTGTAGACATACCCTATGTGTCCATCTGTCTGTGAGTCCGTTTGTTCAAGAACTCTTCTTAAAGGGGAAGAGCTAGGATCACCAAATTTGGTATGCAGCTGCTTCTTATCCTAACGTAAAGCAAGGTCAGGGATTGGTTGTACCAGGACAATGGAATGTGCCTGGAATTTGGTTGTTCCTTATACAGTGGAAAGGGAGAGGTCTGGTAGGAGGGACAATTATACTATAGGAAGGGGGCAGCAAAGGAACCAGAGATTGGGACTGAGATAGCTGTAACATCATTAAGCTAGAAGAGGGCAGAGATGAAGAAAGGGACAGCTATCTACTCTATTTCAGAGAGTTTGTGTGTCTGTCTGTCTGTCCCCAGGTGGGGGACATGCAGCCTTCCCTCGGCTGTGTTTACTACAGCTGCAGCATTCATGCTCAGGCTCTTCTCACCTGACCCCAAGCTGCTGTGGTGAGAGGGCTGGAGTTGTCCTCTCTCCCTGGGACAGCCTGCATACTGAGCCCCTCTTCCCACCTAAGAGCAATGATTTATATTAAGAACTCAAATTTTGTTTTTAAGGACCCAAGCAATGCTGGGTTAATCTTCTAATAAGTGAGTAAAGCAACATACAGAATAATACTTCTATAGTGTTCTAGATCTTTTCATACTACAGACATTACTGTTGTCTTTGGTGTTTGCTAGTCTTACTGTGGTACTCTTTCCAGGCAACCTGAATTACAATATTAGACTAATGAAGTTTAACATGGGTGCAAGTGCTGCCTGTTTAGATGTTTGCCAGAATATCCAAAGCTGTTTAGAAGACTCCTAAAGCTGTGGTACTAGTGAATAGTGTGTGCGTGTGCGTGTGCATGTGGTGGCAGAATCATACTATTCCAAACAAATACAGGTGGAACTAGCTTGCAGTGAGCAGGAGACTTAACTTCTATCTCTGACAGCCTGGCCCACTAAGAGAAATTGTATCAAGCCAGGCTAAATATACATGCTACTTCTCCAGGCAACTGCATTTTTTTCCCCCTTTAGGTCTCGTTCGACACTCGGACACTCAAGATCTCATTGGAGCCAAAACTCTAGCACTCACGCTGCTCGATCCCAAGAACAACGGAATCGCAGCAGGATTTCCACGGTCATACAGCCACTGAGACAGAATGCAGCGGAAGTGGTGGACCTCACAGTGGATGAAGATGGTAAGTTAAACCACTATAATAATAATGTGTCTAGTGCAAGATGTTGAGTCACCAGAACAGAAAGCTGAGTTAATACTAACAAATGAATATTTGGTTGATAGTTTTGCAGTCAGGAAGGTATGTCAAAATAAACCTGCTCATCGATTGCTCCATTCAAACTAAATCTTTAATGTTATTGCTGTGTTCATTTATGTTAAAATAAACATGTTAGTCTAATGGACATTAATTCAATAAAAGATATTGTCCGCTTGTATTTAATGAGAATTTTGCTCTTGGCTGTGAAATTTGGGATGAAGTGAAAAATGTACATAGTAGCAAGAATCAAGTGGTGTGGGACAGCAGTTCCCCAAGAGCCAATGCACACGGGGAGCTGGCTTTTACACGATGTGAATGTCAGTACAGGCAGTCCCCGACTTACGCCTCAGACCCCCCCGCGGCTGCGGCTTCAGTCAGGGTGCCTGTGGTCTGCTGGGGACCGTCCCCAGCAGACCACAGGCACCGGGTCTCATGCGGCAGCAGCGGGGGTTCCCGCGCTTCTGAGGCTTTGCTCTGGCAAAGCCTCAGAAGCGCAGGAACCCGCCCGCTGCTGGCGCTTGGGGCCCCGGGGCCCGTGGCGCGCGC